TTGACTTCCAGAATAACTAAGTCGCTTTCCTGAATGATTAAGTTATTCAAACCATCCACAGTCGGTCATATGTTGGAAGTAGATATGAATCAAGACTGTCATGGGTTGGTTTGTAGAGGTCCAAGTTGGTGGACAAAGTGGTGCTACAACACTCATGAGTGCTCATAAGTTCTGAGTATTGGATTCAACCCGCGCTCATTTGAATCACTTCATGGATTTTATCACGAGTGATCATGAGACGATAATATTTCTTATTCTTCAAACCTAGAGATATGAGTTGTTACTATGAGTTGGTTATACATTGATTACACGAAAACGCATTTGGTAACTCGATGTTATAAAACGTGCCTTTGTGTATGATTCAACAGTAGTAGAACAAGCCCATATGAGTCGAAGTTTATCCATTCCTTTTACCTTCGGATGAAGCGTATCTGTGGGCCCCTCGATGATTTACGATGACACATGTGGTGCTTGGCCAGCCAGGACTAATTTGATTTGTTCAATCAGTCAGTCATCATAAATCGAAAATCAGGAAACAACAAATGGACATAGAGAATGATTATAATCCATGTCTCAGTCCATATGATATCTAGAATGGAGGAATATATGATCCCTTTCTAATGGACAAGTCATTGACAAGGTCAGAGTTCGACAGCGACTTTAAGAGCTACGATTGCCAGTTAGGTTTTGAAGTCATACTCAATAATAGTGTTTAGACTTTCCAAGTGGGAGACTGTTGGATTAATGTCTAAGTCCATAAACTATATTTTAGTATGTACTTGACCCGACCCGGCATGGTCCATTTGGGGTTGCACTTCACCGGCACAATTTATATGGATAGTCTTTTGAGAATAGTATATTTATGATTATATTAATAGATTATAAGTTCTAATATATTAATATGGAATCATATTATGTAATTAGTATTGATCAAAATTAATTTAGAATTAATTAAGGACCAAAAGAACTAATTAAATATGGACTCTTAGATAATGGAATGGGCCAAGTTCATTTAGGTTTGGGCTAAGCGTTCATGGATGGTCCATGGAGCTTTTAACCCATGGATCCTATGTAAATGAAAGGTCATGGGTATTAGGGTTTACATGGATGTAACCCTAATCCTCCATAATATATAAAGGGGTCCTTGGCTCATAAAATTGGAACAAGTGTGTGAAAATAAGAGGGGTCGATTTTAGTGTGCATACAATTCTCTCAAGTTCTTCCAAGGTGTTTTTGGTGATTGTGATTTCCATTTGAGCTTCCATACTATTGGGGCTAAGCTTTTAAAGCTTGAAGACATCAAGCTACATCAAAAGGTATGTCATCTAACTAGAACTTTGTAGTATAGGTGCTTCATAATATGCTAGTTAGGATGAAACCTTGGAATAGTTAATATTTGCATGTATAATAGAGAAAACATAGATCCAAGGTTTATAGGGTTGCATGTACACCATAGGAGTGGTAGTATACTAAAACCCAACAGAATGTACATAGACTACACGAACCTCAACAAAGCTTGCCTAAAGGATTGCTACCCACTGCCCGAGATAGACCAGAAAGTGGAATCGCTAGAAGGATTCAAATAGAAATGTTTCTTGGACGCATACAAAGGACACCACCAGATATGGATGCGAAAAGAAGACGAAGAGAAAACAACATTCTACACGGATCACGGTACCATATGCTATCGAAAAATGCCTTTTGGACTCTCAAAACGCTAGAGAAATCACAAATGAAGATAAATCCAGCTAAGTGTACATTCGGGGCGAAAGAAGGACAATTCTTAGGCTATTGCATCACCAGAGAAGGAATACATCCCAACCCAAGCAAGGTAAATGACGTTCTAGAAACCAATCCCCCAAGAAACCTAACAAAGATGCAAGGACTGAATGGAAAGATAACATCACTCAAACGCTTTATCTCAAACTCTGCTGAGAAGGCCATGCCACTATTCCAAATGATAAAGGGATGTGACGATAAAAGCAATTTCAGATGGACAGAGGAAGCAGAGCAAGCATTAGAACATCTAAAGACAACCCTTCAAAAGCTCCCAATGCTAGTTAGCCCAATATCAGGAGGCACTGTCCATATACCTATCCAACTCCCAAGAAGCCATCAACGCGATCCTAGCGGTCGAAAGAGACCGGAAGCAATTGCCAATTTACTTTGTCAGCAGAGCGTTACAAGGACCATAATTAAATTACCCAAAACTAGAAAAACTAGTCGTATCCCTAGTTCACGCATCTAGAAGATTACGAAGGTACTTCCAGGCACACCACATCGAATTTGTCACCACTCAACCCATCCGCCAAATCCTACCTAAGCCAGAGAAAGTTGGTCAGTTAACTAAATGGGCAATCGAACTCGGTGAACATGACATCGAGTATAGACCAAGGTCGAGCATCAAAGCACAAGCGCTGACAGAGAAAGCACACAAACATACACGTTACTCTTCAACTTCCATACATCCAACAACAAGGCGGAATATGAAGCCTTGCTGGCGGGAATGCGTCTAGCAAAATAGATGGGGGCAGAGTCGGTCGAAGCACTAAGTGACTCTATGCTAGAAACAAACCAAATCAATGGATTTTATGAAGTGCGAGATGGAAGAACGCAAAAATATATGAAATCAGTAAGACGCCTAGATGAGACCTTTAAGCATTTCACCCTCAAACGGGTAGACACGCTAATCAAATTGGCATCGACATCCTTCGACCACCTGACAAAAAAGGTGTTGGTCGAGATCCTTCCAAAAAGAAGCATTGACAACCAAGAATTCGTTGTATTGGAAGCAAGCCAACCAAACTGGATGACACCATAAGTTGACTACCTGCTAAACATCGTCCTACTAGATGAAAGAATGGAAGCAAGAAATATAAAAATCAAATCACCTCAATACACCTTTCGTAACGGAAGATTATACAAAAAGAGCTACTTGGCCTTATGGCTAAAGTGTGTGACACAACAAGAAGGCATGGCCATATTGCAAGAAACACATGCAGGAGAAGCGGGCACACACGAAGGATCCAGAGCACTATCTGAAAAGATCTTCCGCCTCAGAATCTACTAGCCGAACATTTATAAAGATGCAGCAGAAATCACAAGACGATGCAAAGAGTACCAAACATTCACGCCAATACAAAACTTACGTGCAACACCGTTAACGATCCTGTCTAGTCCATGGCCTTTCCAAAAATGGGGAATAGACATCGTAGGACCCTTTCCAGAAGCCCCAGGGAAAGTTAAACTCTTGGTCGTAGCAGTTGATTACTTCACAAAGTGGATAGAAGCAGAACCATTGACATCCATAAATCTTCATAACATGATCAAATTCATGTGGAAGAACATCCTCACCCGTTTCGGAACCCCATGGACGCTCGTCAGTAACAACAACTTACAGTTCGCCAAAAACCCTTTCAAACAATGGTGTAAGGAACATAACATACAACAACAGTTCACTTCTGTGGCCCATCCCCAAGCCAATGGACAAATAGAGGTGTCCAATAGGACCCTAGTGGCCGGGATCAAAAAGTGATGGGGCAAGAAAAAAGGGAATTGGGTAGACGAAGTACCCACATAATTATGGTCATACAAAACAACCCCTCGTATCGGAACCCATGAAACACCCTTCAACCTGGAATACGGAATAGAAGCCATTCTACCACAAGAACTACTCATAGAAAATCCACAAGTAGAATCCTTCAACAATGATAAAAACAATGAAGATCTCCGGATCAACCTCGACCTAATAGAAGAAAAGCGCGACATGACGGTACTCCGCCAGGCAGCATACAAGGCAAATGTCGAAAGATACTACAAAAGGTGAGTAAAAGAACGAGCATTCAAAGTAGGTGACCTGGTGCTAAGGAAAAATGAATCCAACCATGGTGAACCAAGAGGCAAGCTCGGACCAGCCTGGGAAGGACCTTACAAGGTCATAGAAGCCCACCGGAAAGTCTTATACATCCTGGAAAAATTGGAAGGAAGGCCCATCCCAAGAACTTGGAACGTCCAAAATCTACGACGTTTCTATTGCTAAAGTTGAAACCTAAGAGAGCAATTCTATACTCTCTTTAAATTTACTTCTGTACATCTTTTCCCATTCAAAAGCATGTAAGACAGGAAGGGCTGTTCACCCCCTCCTCACAATATGCAATCAATGAAATTTCTTCTTTTGGCTAACAATATTCAAGTGCACGATTATAAACTCACATGTGATAACAATACGACAAGCGGTTCCAAATCCCTTGGTTTTGAACTGCCTTATGTCTTGAGGCTAACTGCCTCGACCTATTTCTCCAAATGGCAAACAGTCCCAAAGCCCTTGGCTTTGACCTGCCTTACGTCTTGAGGCTAATGCCTCCTCCAAATGGAAAACGGTTCCAAATCCCTTGGCTTTGAGCTAACTTATGTCTTGAGGCTAACTGCCTCGACCTATTTCTCCAAATGGAAAACGGTCCCAAAGCCCTTGGCTGTGAACTGATTTACGTCTTGAGGCTAACTGCCTCGACCTATTTCTCCAAATATAAAATGCTCCCAAAGCCCTTGGCTTTGACCTTTCCTTACGTCTTGAGGCTGATTGCCTCAACTTATTCCTATGAATAACAAACGGTTGCAAAATTCTTAGCTTCGACCTGCCTTGTGTCTCGAGGCTGACTGCCTCAACTTACTTTCCCGGCAGGAAACGGTTCTAAAGTCTTGAACCACGTCACATTAAATCACATCATTTGGTTTCAAGACTCATCCCAGGTTTGGATAAACACATATGCCTAACAACCGGATCAAACAACTCAAGCTCCATTTAAGGAAAAAAAACAACAACAAGCTAGCAAGGAACCTTACAAAAGCAACAAAAAGAGTTAACAACACAAAGGTACAACATAAAAGTCATAATCATTTAAAAAACGCAAACAAGAAAAGCCAAAACCAAAACATGTCCACATGGCCAAGAAAAGCCTAATAACTAGAGCAAATTACAAACCAAAGGAAAACAAACGAAATCAAGAAGAACTAGCTCCACCACGGGACTGCACAATCCACTTCAGCTTCCCCACATTCAGTCCCTCCAAGCCCAAGACAAACATGTAGTCAAGTGAGGCGAAAGCATCCAAGGCCTCTTCCACAACCATTTCATGGTCCACACCATCATCCGTCACGACTGCCAGCCCGAAACCACCACCAACCAACTTTTTTGCCTCTTTCATTCCCAATGCCTTACCGATAGCTACACATGCTTCACAAAACCTATTCACACCGTAACCAAACTCCAGACTTTCCAAGACATGATCAACAATCCCAACCAACCCATCCTTCATCACCCACTGAATATCACGATCGAAACCCCCCAACAACGCAGACTTCTCTTCCACCACTCGATCATTTTCCGCCAAATCCCTCTCAAGGATTTCCAACTGAATGCTCAAACCTTCATTTTCTTGCTTCAACTGGATAATAGCAGCACCCAAAGACAACTTATTACGTTCAAGACCCATCACATTATCCTCCGACATCTTCTTTTCCGTAACAACAACACCAAGCTGCAACACATCCTTTTCGCAATCAAAAAGATTCTTCTGTGACTCATAATGGAGCACCTGCATTTCATTCGCCATACAGGCAAGATCACCATCAACGACTAGAAACCGTTAAAGACGATTAGCATCCTCAGCAAAAAAAAACTTGCACTTTGAGCTGAAGCAAAACGAAAAGGCCCAAGGAGGTCAGAAAGGGAATAATTAGCCATTTCGGATCGAGTGCCAGGTGGAAACACATTTTTTGCAAAGTCAACTGCATATTCAAACAAAGAAAGGTGCGAATCATCTTTCAAAGACCAGGAAGGGGAAAACGGCACACCACTAGAATCCCCAACTTCATCAGCACCGACCATCGGAGACTTGACATGCCCAAAATGCAAAACAAGAAACCCCTCCTTCACACTAACCTTTTCACCCCAACCTCTAAACGCTCTGAAGTATGCGAAACAACACCCGACTCATACCCAATAACATTCTCCTCAACAACAACTTTTTCCATATTCCCATCATCAGGACTATCAATTACCTCATTTTGTGCAGGAGCAACAAGAGAGCTTCCTCCAGCTAATTTTCATGGACATAAACGTCGCACGAGTGCCAGAACATCAACGTTTTGCTCACTCGCATTTTTCCAGGCTGCCTTACGATTGTTCACCAAAGGAAGAACTCCTTCCTTGCTATCTTCCACAAACTCATCATCTCCCAATTTGTTCCCAGAAGATTCAACACCGATATCCAGACTCATAAGATCAATAGACGCTGATCGAGAAGGCTCTGCGGCAACACGGCGACGCTCAACGTCCGGGATAACAAAAGCACGCGTAATAAAAGCTTCATTTCGAAATGGAAACGACGACAACACCCTATCAACAAGATTCACCTCTCGAAATCAGAGACTACCCATCCATTTTTTTGCCAACACATCCATGAAATCAACCCACTTTTCGACACATGAATAACCAAAATCGGCCATTTCCACTTTCCTTTTCAAAAAAAGGAGGGGAAAGGGCGAAAGGACTAATATACAAGAAGAAGAAGAGTAAAAGAAAAATGACAAAGAATAGGTTTGAAAATTGAAGCAAACCTTGGCAAATAACATAAAATTATGGTATCTTTCCACGAAGCCTCCACGACGTGCTCATTTCGGCTCCAAAAAGTACATACTATGGAAAATCGCCACCAACAACGTGAAAACAGTGGAGAACCCTAGCCAACTACTCTTTATCCGAGTACATGGTGAAGATTGATCAGAGATGCAGGTCGAACGACGCTCCATAGGACCCACACGATCGAAATTAACCCATTAGTACCGATTTGCCCAATTATTTGGGGAATTCTTCTACTCGGTCACCAAAGCATGACTATGTTTTCGAACGACGAAGGTAGAGTTCTCACTGAAAGAAGCAACAGCAAAATGGAAAAAATGGAGAAAAACCCAGATGTCGAGGTTAATCCCGTTAGTGTGATAGATAATCTCAAAAGCAACCACTTTTTTCACACCGTTAGGAACTAATTGATTGATGTGAACCTTGTAATGATGAAGAACCTCTTGAAAGAAGTCCGATGTCGGAAGATGGTACCCAACGTCGAAATGTTTCACATAAATGGGAATCTTACCCTGTGGCTGATCAATAAAACTAGCATGCTCACCATGAAAAGTTACTCTATCTTCCGGATGAAAGTCATACTTGTCCTGAAGCGCTTAGAATTGATCGGGAGTAGGGGCGAAACTGATCGGAGAATCCATAGAAGAAGAGGGAGTAAACTCAGAGAAAGGTAAAGTAAAGGATAAGAGTAAAGAAAATCAAAGAGGCAGAAATCACAAAATATAGATGGGTGGGAAATCTAAAAACCCTAATAATGATGGCTGACGTCACAGCTAGAAACCACTACAACATGCAGCCGAAAAGACAACAACCAAACACGGAGATACACGTCACCTAAAACTAGTCTCATCCATTGCAACTAAGCACACCTACATCACCACATATAAGACTAGGGAGACTTGATAGCGTTCCCACTAGGAACACCACAAATACCTAATGGATGAGCCATATGGACAAACCTGCCAGCCTCATTTTCTAGCCATCACTCATTTCGGCTTGGATTGAGCCATCTCTCAATGAGCGGAATCCGGCCTGGAACCCATGCGGGAAAGTCACCAGGCGACAAACCATCACCTGCTAACTTTAGCATAGGTGCACGCACCACTACCATGGCTAAGCCAATCATGGCTTAGGCAGGGGACAAAGTTACGATCTACCAATCAGCGCCTCTGCCCCGATCGGCGTCTGACACCCCTTTCCCCACGAGCGGGATCCGTGCCTAGATCCTCACTATAAAAGGCCTCGTGCCTTCAACGATAAAGGGATCTGAACCCTAATTCTCTAAGCCTCACGCTTTACACATAACCCCCTCAATCTCAGAGATTGAATTGACCGTGAGAGCGTTCTCCTAGGACCTCCTCCCAGAGATCAGTTGACGACCCGTTTACCTGTTGTGATTGCAGATTTCCATCGGAGAGCATCCACCAAAGCCATTAACCCACGCCCGAGGTCTGATATCACACACACACACACACACTGTGTGTTTGTGTGTACGTGTGTGTGTGTATATATATATATATATATATATATATATATATATATATATATATAGGGTCCGGTTCCAATGACGACTGTGAAAACGAATTCTCCACCTCCCATTTCGTCAATGGAACAAACGTCAAACCCAATACTTGGCCGTGGTGCGTTCGCATGCGACCCACGTCAGTGGTAAATAATACAGACTCTGGGATTTAATCATGTGCGACGAACGTCCATGAAACATCATTTAAGTGAGTTTTATTATTTATTTTCGATTATTTTTGTTTTTTTTATATTATATATATATATATATATATATATATTATATTTAAAAAAAATGTAACGTTTGGTCAGATATGAAATAAATATATTAATTTTCAAGTTTTTGGAATGGAACTCGACGAGTTGGGAGGCTCCAACTCGTCGTTTAGAGAGCTTTTTAGTCGCGCATCTTTTAAGGTCTACTCGACGAGTTGGAAGGTCCCAACCCGACGAGTTGAAGGCTGAACATGAAACCCTAATTTTTAAGGTTTGCACCCTATTTAAAGGCCTTAAGCCTCATTATTAGCCTCCCTTATCGCCCCCTTTTCTAGAGAAATCCTAGTTTGTGCTTTCTCTATCATTTTGAGTGTGTGAGAGCTTTAAGAGTGCCTTTTTGGTGTTTATTTGAAGAAGCTTGAAGTGGGTGGTGCATAGTTGAAGGGAGAGGCTATAGATCCGGTGTCTACTCTGTTGTGGAAACCATATTGAGGTATAAAGTTTATACCTTGGTCATTTATTTGCTAGATCTCTTCATTTGAGAGTTTATGGTCATTATTAGCTTATTTGGGATCATTTGTGGATTTGAGCATGACATGAAGCTATAACTTTAGATCTGGACATTTCATGGCCTCTATTGAATTAAAGTTGCCATCTTTATCAAGTCTTGTTCCTCCTTCATTCCCTAAATCCCTTAATAAGCTATGATTGAGTGTTTTAGCCCCCTTAATGCCATGCATGGACGTAAAGTTAGCAACTTTACGTGGTATCTCAACCCTAGGGGATCATATCTATAGTTTGGAGCATTAGACTCGCTTAATAAGTGGCTGAGTATGTTAGGTCTAGGAAAACTCGACGATTTGCCTTTCCAACTCGACGAGTTGGCCCGAGGTTTCCCCGATCTACTGGTCATTGTTTGAACTCGACGAGTTGCTGTGATAACTCGGCGAGTTGACTACGGTTTTTCCCGGTTTTCTGAGAACTGAAGGAACTCGACGAGTCGGTAGGTGCACTCGACGAGTTGGGTCAACATGGACTATTGACCTTGACTGCTGACTTTAACTTTGACCATGGTTTACCAAGTTTGAATTTAAGGGTATCTTTGGTATTTCGGGATTTTGATGAAGTTAGTCACATGGTGGTTGTAGGCAGCTGAGTTCGAAGCTGTGAGTTGGGATTTGATCTTACCAGTTCAACATTTCTTGAGAGGTGAGTCTCCTCACCATACCAATGGGTCGAAGGCACCAAGGCCTGCCCATTATGTGATATGTGGTATACTAGTTGATTATGTGATATGTGGTATACTAGTTGATTATGTGATGTGTGGTACACCAGTTGATTATGTGATATGTGGTATACTAGTTGATTATGTGTTATGTGGTCTACTAGTTGTCTCTGTGATACTTGCATGGAAGACCCTGGGGGGGAGCCCGTGACACTTAGATATCAGACCATGTAGGGGAGCCCATGACATTCCAAGTAAAGACTGTGGGGGGATCCCATGTCACATAGGTATAAGACCCTTGGAGAAGCCCACGACATCTTGGAGTATGACCCTGGAGGGAGTCCATGACATCCCTATATGTTTATATGCATGGCTTGTATGAGTGAGTTGTTTTATATGATTATGTGGATTGTGTAGGGTATGTTATGGGGAACTCACTAAGCATTAGCTTACAGTTTGCTGGCTGTTTCAGGTACTTCAGGATCTAAGGGCAAGGGCCCGGCATGATGATGCGACATGCACTCTCTGGCATTCTATTTGGGACACTCTGATATTATGAATGAATTACTTGATGTTATGGATTTTGAAAACAAATGTGATTGGAATTTTATATATTTTATGGTTAAAATGAAAATTTTTATCGGTAATTTGGGTTGTTACAAGTTGGTATCAGAGCGTTGGTTTGAGGGATTCGGGCACACCCTCGGGTGTGTCAGAACTCAAACTGAGGAAATGGTAAAATTGTTTTCAAAAAAAAATTCAAAAGTTAAAAACTTCTTAAAACCAAAAAAGGGAGAGTGAAATGCGCGTAATCGGCCGAGATCAAGTAAGTGGTTCCCCAATATGTTAGCCATGCTATATTGATATTTGGAATTTGATAATCGGATGAATTTTGCTATGTGTATGCTTTCTAAGTTGTATACATTTAGGATTGCGTAGCCCTAGGATGATGAATTCTGCCTTATTATTGTTCCTTGTATGGATTGTGGTCTAGGGTAGAAGCTTGTTTGAAAGTCTATGTGGTTCTATTTGTGTATAACTTGCATTCATAGGGCAACCTGTTATGTCTGCTGGGATTCTGGTTTGATGGGGCTGAGCAAATCTTAGGATAGCCTAGGATTTGAGTATGTGGTATTGATGACGTGCCTAAGCCGGCACGGAAGAGTCACGCTCGCCCAAGATACATGTCGCATCGACCGAGCCAAGAGGAGCGGGCTCAGCGCCCGCCAGCGCCCCTAAGAGCAGGGCGCCCCGGCAAAAGGCTCGCGCCCGCCAGAAACGCTCTCAGCGTCAAGACAAAGGATACGGTCAAGCGACAAGGCAGAGGATCAGAGCATTACCGCCGGAGCCAATGGCAGAACTCTAACATAAAGAGGCGCACAACCCTCCAATAAACGCCTCTAACCTTGTCCCCTAAAAGCTATCTTGTCCTGTACGGACGAGCAGGGTCGCTAGGTATAAAAGGATGCGCTCTGGAGTCCTAAAGGTAAGCCATCTTCTGTAAGTGCAATAACCCTTAAACACCGAATACCCTATCTAACTTGACCGTCGGAGCGTTCTTCCGGGAGCCTCCTCCCGGAAAGCGGCTGACGACTATTCTTTCGTGTGACCTTGCTGATACATCCAAACGCCTAACAGGAATCCAAATTGAAGACTAGACGTAAGGTCGCATCATTTGGCGCCATCCGCTTTGAGTGACGAAGAACGAAACAAAAACCACTGTTTCAAAAACATCAATGGCGTCTGACGACGGTGATGGGGTTGCGAGCACCCAAAACAGCCCTATACGCTCCATGGCACCGTTGGACGACATATCGCCGCCCATAATGGCCACCAATGAACCCACCGGCGAAGGGAGCTCTATGCTCACTACAATATCTCCGGTAACCCGACAACTAACTCCAC